TCTCTTTCTCTCTCTCTTTCTCTTTCTCTTTCTCTTTCTCTTTCTCTTTCTCTTTCTCTTTCTCTCTCCCTCTTTCTCTCTGTGTCGTCTGACTCTCTCTCTCTCTCTCTCCCTCTGTCTCTCTGTTTCTCTCTTGCTGTCACTCTCAGTGCGCTGGCATTCTATGAACCAGGTAGACGAAAGAGAAGACAGACGTATAGGATGACCCCGGAATGGTTTCGGAAGGGCAAATGAGGACTGAACCAGCCATGAGTTGCGCTGGCCACGTGAAGCTGTCTGCCTGTCTGATGGGTTGACAAATGTGCGTGCATACTTTAGGAATGTTGTCGTCATTTAGTGATCCTACCACAGCTGTTTCAGTGGCTGGCTACAGCCAGAAAGCTAGATGTATATCCATGTCGTGTCGGTTTCTTGGAGTCGTGGCGTGTGCCCGCCAGACAGACTGTGCAGCGCAAAGACACACGGTGCAATGGGAGTCGGGAGGGTGTGCCGGGGTCTACCTCAGTCAGTATCCACTAGGGCACACTTGACGCTCGGCTTGCTGTTAATTAGTCGAGCCAAGACAGCCATTGCATGTGTGCAACGACAAGGGTTTTCGTTTCTTACCTTGAGCGAATGTGCACTGCTTGCGCGAGCCAAAAAGCATGGGCGCAGCTGTCTTTCTGGAATGCATCAGTGTCGACCCAGCAACGAGGCGCAGCGGTGCGAAGTGGCAGTCGCAGCTTTTGTAGAGATCCTTGAGGCATTCTTTGAGAGCTTTTTGTCAGCAGCAGCACGTAGAGTCTTAGAGTAGTTTAGTGGGCCGTGAATCAATGCAGTCTTCACCGCCTGCACGTGCGTCGGCTCAGTTTACTCCGGACAGACCGACTCAGCTTACAACGCCCGAGAGACCGAAGAAGCTGCATGCGAAGAAAGTCTACATCGGCACGGGCTCGCTGGACATCCCGGACGTTGACAAGAAATCCGTCGACGTCACCCCGATCCAGAAGGCCAAGAGAAAACGTCTGAGCTCTTCGAGCCCCAAGCCAGTCACGAGTCACGACGCGAGCAGTCAGCAGAAGAAGACGAAGACGAAGACGACGACGAACGACGAAGCAACGGAGCATGCGAAGTGATGCTGTTACAGAGGCATTGCTGGAGCATCGGGTTTTTGTTAGCGGAGCGCATTGACTCGACTGCGCTGGTCGCCTGGTCCGCCAGTGAAAAACTGCAGTGCTTTTCGACTTGGCAAGAGTGGCTTCCAGAGGGTGAGCACACCAAAGTTTGCAATCGAAGTTTTGTGGGGTTCTGCTCAGGTCCTTCCCAAGACGATCTCGGACACACTCCGACTGAAAGATGTGTTCAGGCAGGAGTTTGCCAGGGTCGATAGCGAGCCAAGGACGTCGATTGAATTTTGCTGTGGCTTCTTTCGGCAAGGCCCGAAATCTCCGGGAAAGCTTCGAACTGTTTCTTTGCCGGAAACTCAATGACTCAATCTCCTTAAGGCCGGCGGGGATGTACGGCCTGCAAGCCAGCATCTTGTAATGAGCTCTCGAAACTCAGGTGACAATGAAAGCTTTGCACCACACGTTTCTTCTTCTCACTGGGAAAGGGCTTGACTTCTTCATTCCGAAATGGGCACGACCGTCCCGAGACTTGTTCAAGGGCGAAAACATGATGAAAGCAGAGCTCGGATCCATCGACGAGATGGGGATGCTGCGCTTCGAGCCTCGCCAGGATCGTGTGTGCGGTTTGCCTCTGTTGTCACGTGGGCAGTTGAGCGCCCCTCATGGCTCAGGTGGCAGACGAAGAGGGGGTGCAGAACAAGTGTTTTCACTTCTTGCACAGTTACATAGGAGTCAGAGGAGCGATTTGCCCAGAAATTTCACATCCGAAGTGGAACTGCTGGAAGCGAGCAGTGAAACATAGTGGCATGAATTACGATCTGATGCGCCTCACCATTGCGGCCAACTATGGCCACGGCACTCGGCTCACAGGCGAGCGTGTGACGATGCGACGGGAGTACCTGGAGAGGTGGCTAGAGAAACAAGAGGAGCAGTACTTCGAAGAGATTTCAGAGGAAATCAACCATGACCGCGGAGAAAGAGGCATGACCAGCGATGCCGTCCAAGCATCGATCACAGATTTCCTGGAATCGGACCTGATCAAACGACGTGCGCATTTCGTGCCCCCGTTGCGAAATCATGGATTGCATGAAATCCTTCTGCGTTTTGAGAAAGTCATGACGGTCTGTTTTTCAGTGCTTGTTGTTTGATCCAAGGCAAAGAACAAGAGCTGGTTCGGCTGCCTGACATGCTTCAAGATGCTCTTGCGTGACTGGACAGTGTTGCGAGAAGCAGCTCGGGCGGTGGTGGTAGAGTCTAACGGTATGGCGCCTCGTCATGCACCAGAGCTGAGTACGGGCTTGGTTGGCTTGAGTGAAGTCTCGGATGGCTTTTGCCGCAGGGCTTGTGGGTGGGATTTATTGTATGAAGTCATAAGTGTGTTGCGAAGCGCGGGGTTCACGCAGTGGCCAATTTTGGATTTGTTTATTTCAGGACCGGGGTTATTATTCCGAACTGATTGCAAGGCAGACGATGAGGAGCTGCAAGCAGGCGCTGCAGTGGACGATGCCGAGGATGCAGACGAAGCAGCAGAGGCAGCGGAAGAAGCGCAAGCTGCACCACAGAAGCAGACCAAGTCGGATTTTTACGCGGCCTACAAAAAGACAGGTCCGCACCAAATGCAACTGGACATCCTATCCGATGACCGTCTGCGCTGCAGTGCAGAGATCTTCTGCCGCGTTACTAGGCCATTGCACAAGCTCTACCAAAACGATCTGCAGGCACAGAAAGAGGGATTGCAGGAGACGCTGCAATGGAATGCAGAGCGCTGTGTTGGGAGCAGTTTGAAAGCCAGCAACCAGGTCCTTGCAAGCACGTCGAACCCAGCACTGTACATGGCCATGAAGATGACGCCCCACTGCAGCCCGTGTGCCACACCCGACATGTTGCCTGATGAAATGGAGCTAGCGCAAAAAGCTTTCACTTTTGCAACCAATTTGGCAGGCAACTTTGCGTGGTCGGAAATGCTTCACCAATTCACGCTGCCGCTGGCTGCTGGCGCCTTGTTGCTGGCAGATCGAGACAAAGCCCAAAGAGCACTTCGCAGGATTGGCGCTCTCATTGATGCCGTGGTCAAAGCAGAAGACTTGCTAAAATCAAAGACAAAACCTGCACTTGCGCAGCTGTTGCAAGACCTGGCCTTTCAAGAAGAGAGCCTCGCGCGCGAGGTCATGATCCGTTTGCGAAGAGCGCAGTACAAACTTGACGATCCCGAAGCCGAGACCGTGGCTCGACTCATGCGCAGGTTTTTCGGTGGCAGCAGCTCCACCAAAGAGATTCTGGAGAGTTGCTTCGGACACTTGGCAGATGTGGTGAGCAGGTCCAACAAGAACAAGCGCACGAGCAGGCTTGGGCTGTGGCTATATTGCACCAGCTCGGGTTTCATCAAATCATCAGGAATGAAGCAGCACTTGCCAGACTCTTCTGAGTGGCTGGCATGGCTTTCGAAGTACGGGCATGCTGAAAACGAGTGGATGAAGAAATTCAACACAGCGTTCAATGTTGCTGCGACCCCGCTTCCCCAAGCCCAGGACATGGAGTTTCCCAAGACAGTGGAGGGTGTAGTGAAGACGAAGTGGAGGCTGGCGGGACCTCTATCTCACTACAGGAGTGCGGCTGCCGCCTGCTACCTCCTCAAAGAGTGTGACTCTGGGTTTCGGAATCTCACAATGGCTTGGGCAAGCCTTGGCCTCAGTTTAGATATAATCCAGAGCCCGCACTTTTGTAGCAGCGTCCGGGGCTCCACAGCAGTATGAACTCAGCGATGCAGGTGCATTGCTGTTCAAAGGGGCCATCTTCTGGGAGCGCTCCAAGGACATTTTCATGATCTCGCTGGGCTTCGTTGCATGGTGCGCGCTTGGCATACGGTTGCGGCGGCACAAAGTTGGCCAGCAGGACTCCGCAACACCTGAACCTTCCTCCCAAGGTCCCATGGTGCCTGTCTTACTTAGATGCGTTGGCCGGCATAGTGATGTAGTGTGAGGTGATCTGACCAGTGCTCCCAAGTATGTCGCAGGCAACCAGGTCCTTCTAACAAAGCTATGCCACTTCTCGCGTGCGTGCGTCAGGAGTTCTTGTCAGTTGACCCCAATCATGAGGGAGTGGAGATGCTGTTCAATTTTACAGTGTCCGAAAGTTCACCGTGGATGTTCGTCGTGCATGAGGTTCTCCCGCCCGCTTGTGTTCCAGACTCCTTGCACGAGCTTGGGTCCTGCATACACGTGAAGTCAAAGGAAGGGATTCTGCGAGCAGCGGTCCTTCGCCAGCAGAGCATGAAATTGACCAAGTTGCAACTGGTCCAGATATGCGCGTCATTGCGGGTGGCTTTGCCAGACCCCAAAAAGGGGTCAGGCAAAACAGGAAAACGGATCAAGATTGATTACGTACGTGCCCTTCTACAGCATCTTCTGCCGGACAAGCCGGAAGAAGTGGAGGAGCGGGTGGCCGCTCTCATGGGCAAGGCAGCAGCGCGCGTGGACATGGGCGTGCTGGCGATGATTTCCGAGATGGATGTTGACAACGCAGATGCCTTTAAAGAACTGAAGAAGCAAGCCATGCAACAGTTTGAAGAAGAGGTGTCCAAAAGTGGTGAGAAGCGTGCCGTGAAGAGTATGAAGGACGCGCAGGAGCGCGCAGAAGCAGAACGGAAGGTAGCAGAGGCTGCCAAGAAGCGTGAGGAGAAGCAAGAGCAGCAACAAGCTGCCGACCGCAAGAAGCAGTGGGATTTGACGCCAGCCGATCTCAAACAGCTCCTGCCGGGGGCCGGTACCATTACTTCCACCTTCTGGATGCGATTCCAGCCCTTGCAGAAGTTTTGGAAGGTTGAGTACCCAATCGGCCCTTCGACATGCTTTGGGTTCAGGAAGTCTGCGTTCCGAAGTCGGTAGGTAGGATTTTGATTTTAGTGGTCTCGTGGCTAAGGTGACCCGATCGAGAAAGACAGTTGTCAGAGAAGCTGGGGGACAAAACGTTGCCCAGATCAGCTTTCGGCATTGCGCGAAGTGTTGGATTTTACGTACCGCCGATGGAACAGCCGCAACCCACGCAACCAATTCACTATGCCACTTGTCCGAGGAGTGAAGCTGCGCATGTCAAGTTAAGTTCATGTCATGAGCGTCTGCGTTCTCTCTCCCTCTGTCTCTTTCTTTCTGTCTTTCTCTATGTCTATATCTGTCTCTCTCTGTGGCTTTGGGTTTGGTTGGTTTTGCTTTTTTGTGTGGGTTAGGTTTGCTTCCCGGGCCCCTTTCGTTCAGGGTGGTTGAGGTTCGGGGTCTTTCGGGGTTGCTTCGGAGGGTCTTTTTGGCAAAGGCGTTCAAGCGTTGTGGAGTAAGGTCCTGGGGGTTTCCCCTCTCCCTTTCTTTCTCTCTCTCTCTCGCACTCTTTCTTTCTCTCTTTCTCTCTCGCTCTCTTCTGTCCTTCTCTCTTTCTGTCTGTCTGTCCGTCCGTCNNCTGTCAGTCTGTCAGTCTGTCAGTCTATCAGTCTGTCAGTCAGTCTGTCTGTCTTTCTGTCTGTCCGTCGGTCTGTCGGTCTGTCTAATGTCTTTCTGATGTCTGGCTGTCTGTCTGCCTGTCCGTCTGTCAGTCTGATGTGTGTCTGTCTTTCTGTCTGTCTGTCCGTCCGTCCGTCGGCCTGTCCGTCTATCTCAGGCCAACCGATGACGTCTTAAAGACCTACATCGAGACTTTGCCTGCGCCAATCCGGCGCTGAGTGCGCTCAGAACCGCGATGACGTCTTAAAGACCTACATTGCATCGAGACCTTGCCTGTGCCAACCCGGCGCGGAGTGTGCTCAGAACCGCTCGAGACGAAATGAGTGCTTCGGGGTCACAGACTCACAGACTGTTAAGCTTGTGGGTTGGATATTCGTCAAAGCTGAATTCAAATTACACGGCATGACCGAGCAGCCCAGTCCGTTCATCCATCTGCGATAGTCCGGACCCCAGGTAGAGACCCTCCGAGAAGAAGAGCAGTGGAATGATGACGGAAAGATCATCGAAACATAGGGGAAAGCGGATGACCCACCAAATAGACCCTAAATAAGCTTATTTAGGTGTTATTTTGGTTGCATAGGGCAAGTGTGTTGTCTGAGGGGGGGGGTAGTAGGGGGGGGGGTAGTTAACATCTTCATGATAGTAGTAGTAGTAGTAGTAGTAGTAGTAGTAGTAGTGGTAGTAGCAGTAGTAGTCGTGGTGGTGGTGGTGGTAGTGGTAGTAGTAGGAATAGTAGTAGTGGTGGTGGTGGTGGTGGTGGTGGCGGTAGTGGTAGTAGTAGGAATAGTAGTGGTGGTGGTGGTAGTGGTGGTGTTGGTGGTGGTGGTAGTGGTAGCAGTGGCAGTGCCAGTGGCAGATACAGCGGCAATGAGGGTTCGGGCTGCCGGGAACAATGTGTCAGAACGCAGTGCGCTCAGGTGAAAAACCTCACGCTGCGCACGACTCAGAAGCCACAGTGTGGTACATGTGCAGTGCTGCACATTCCCGGACTTCAGGTGTGGCCCGTGTGGCCGTGAATTTTGGTCGCACGGCAAATCTCATGTGCTCCTGGAGCTGAGGCAAACAACTGAGGAGCAGATCAGACAGGACCGGGATCTGGAAGAGGTGTGTTGTGAGCCGTTAGCCTTTAGCCAGATTGCTTCTGAAGTGTCAGTTGTGCCACTGTCGCCGCATTATGCCTTGCTGGACCGACTGCATGAGTGCGTGAGGCATTTAATGATGCCATCCCTCAGCAATTTACTATCCAAGAAGCAAAGCTGGCCACAGATGCGACGTCCTCGGTCTCGGTCCCTGGGAACAACATGTGGACTTGCAAAATGCGCATGCCAAGATGCAAGTGAGCTGTACCAGTTTTTGTTTCTTTAGCCTTCGCAAACATGTGCTCTTGCTCTTAAAGCTTGAAGCTGATCAACTCAGAGCCTCGTTGGGTTCGTCTGGTTCCGAGGCAAACGGCTACACAAAAGGCTTCGCATTCGTCACGTTCAACTGTCCGGATGCAGCTGCAGGGGTCCCAGTAGGTTAGGTCTCCTGCTGCTAAGCTGGGAAACACCCAGTGCAACTGGAAGTGTCCGGTCCGTTGACAGCACTTGGCGGGTTGGTGCTGCTTTAGTCAATGCCCAACCTTCCACAGCATCCCGGTTGCTTGATTTCAGGTCTACGCGCGCCAGATCACGATGGTACTGGATGGCAAGCCTTGTCTTATCGTCCCGTATAGGTGCGGTCTCCCAGTCCCCTGCACCACGCTCCAAAATCCTATGAGGCTATCTCCAGTGAGCACATCTCCCAGATGTTGGAAGACACAGTATGCCAGTACGGCTGGATGCGTGTTTGTAGCGGTCAATACATCTTGAAGGATATTGATGAGAAGTCTGCCAGGGCAGCACATTAGAGACATCATGTCAGCACGCACTGAACATCACCTGACTGTTACTGTACCGGGGCAGGGACGGGCCCTCTTCATGAGGTTTCACGTCTCGGAAGTTGAGGACCATGCAAGGATCACAGGGTACCGATGGCATCTCGCATAACCTGTGGTTTTTCTTTGCTGGTCCTACTCCCAGCATCACCCAGCCTTGTGCTAACATGCTTGGAACCGCGGACCTCATCGATGGCCTCAGTATCGTCAGCATGTGCGAATGACCGTCACGCATCGTCGACAGATGTCCGTGATGTTGCGGGCAAGCATGCACTCCGAAGACCTCCCTCCCCAGGTCCAGAGAGGACGTTGGAAAGCAGGCAAATTTGCACGGGCACGGGTTGTGCTGCTCGTGGGGAATCCAGTTGCTGAGTTGCAAGGTCAGTCTTAGACCTTGTCGAGCGGCCTGAAGTGTCGAGCGTGAGCTCACTCCGTGCCAATGCTGCAGGCCCTCTCAGCAGGCGGTGGGCTTGCGCCTCAACAGTCAGACGGTCGCAAAAGTTTGCAGAAGACGACGAGTTGAGTCCACAGGTTGGAGAGGGAAGGAGGGAAAGTTTGAAGTGATTGTGGTTATTGTTGGCCCATACAATGGAGGAGACGTCTCAGATCGGGGAGTCAAAGAAGTGTTGCTAGTCTCATGTGTCAGGTTGCTGACATCCTGTATCACGGAGCGGCGGCATGTCATGTCATTGTCGAGTCTCCTTCTTGGAGCTTTCCTGTTGTTCACGGGTCCAGTCTTGAGAAATCAATCGGTGGACCTATGCAGGCACTGCAGACTGAGGCCAGATTCCGGCAGGGTAGACCTGCGCTCGCGGGTCAATGAGTTTGTGAACCGTGGATGTCTCAGAGAGTTCCCAGCATGTCGAGGCAATGCGCAGTCCCTGGACATGCTACATGGAAAGGGCCCGGAAATCCGTGTTTATAGAGGCCGAAGAAGGGATCTCTAAGTGGCTCTGAGTCGCTGTCCAGTCTCTTCAAGCATCGGTGATTTCAAGTTTGTTCGCAGTGAACGGATACATACGGCCGGCTTCAGGTTACGAGCTCCCCAAAGATCTTCGGGAGCTCTTTACGAAGTGCAAGGCCGAGTCTGCCGCTCGCGCTGTGATGGCCTCAGGCTGCCTCAGGTCAGGGCATGTGATTCAGCGGAGCTCCTATGCGAATAGCTTGGTGACTCGGATGGCTTAGGTAAGCAAGTTGGAGGCCCGTGCTCTTGACGGCTCGAGTCCCAGCGTATGTCGGGGCCCATTCTAGGGAGTGGACTGAGCCGTCGCTCCGAAGTGAACTTGTCTTGTATTAGGGAGGTTTCTGCAGGTTAGCACATCAAGAGCTCGGCCGAGATGTGAGCAACTGCCACATGGCAGGCCAGACCCCTGCCAAGATAGCAGAAATCGTGAAGGCTGAGCTCATCGACGCGAAGCTCTTGTCTCAGGGTCTCTTCGAATTTCACTAGGATCATACAGCCATCGCTAGGGATGTTTGATGCGGCGGCACCTACGCCCCAGGAGACATGAGCTGCCACAGTGTGTGCAGCTGAAGGCAGACAGGTGGGAGCACGCCTCAGCTGAGTGCCACTTTCGGTTCACAGGAAGAGGGTGTCTCGAATCGCGCGCATCATGATCAGAACTCTTTGGTGTCAAGTCATAAGTTTAGCCGGCCAGCAGAGTTGAAGTTGGAGCACCGGTACTTCTCCAGCCGCGCACAGTGGTCACGACCTAGGTGGCGAAACTGAGCATCGACCCAGCCAGCAAGCGGCAGGCTCCTTCTCTTCAGTGGAGCAGTAGGCCGTAGAGGAGTTGTCTGGTCGGCATATAGTCCAAATCTCTCTCAGTAGCTCCTCGATGCCTGGATCATCTAGATTCTAGATCAGCAGATCAGCTTGTGCGAGGTATGACGAAGGTCCGTAAGTTTGAGGTGCTCGAGCCTGTTCGTGTGAGGTCATGGACTACTTCCACGATCGAAGCGCCGAGGCGCCTCATCTTGGCCCGTGGCCGTTGACATACCACAGTTACCACGAGTTACTCACGCGAAATGGGATCTCCAGGATCCTGATCCTGCTTTCGGGCCTGCCCGTGCGAAGCAGGTTTGTCAGCTCGTTCCTGTGCCGCAGGAAGTGGATTATGTGGTCGATGAAGAAGGCCCAGAGTTTGCACGATTCAGGTGGTTAGCACATGTTAGCACGGGGTCTACACAGCCATGCATTTGTGAAGGAGACTACTTCGAGCGAGGGCTGCCGCGCCAACGAGACCCAGTCCAGTGGCTGTCAGGTGCATGCTACTAGTAGCCTTCCAGACTTGGAGATTCGAAGATTAACCAGTTGTGGAAGTCCTCAGATCTGCGATCCAGCAGGCGAAGTTAAAAAGCACATGCAGTGCGGCCCTCAGCTGGTCTCCTGTTTGGCGAGTTATGTTTGCAGTGTAGTGGTAGGTAGTTTTTTTTTTTTTGTTTTGTTGTGTCTGTATGTGTGTGCGCAGTAGCCCTTGCT